GATATATGTGCATAATATGTTATTGTATGAATGTGTAATTAAAAATGAGTATAAAAATTAGAGAGCTGTATATATAAAAAATGTACGACACCCACGTGTCACAAAAAGGAGCAATGGCAGAACAGTGGCGTCGTGGTTGGGGTAAAATATCAGAGGAGTATAGGAAACGTGTCAAATGAAGTATGTTTTAAATCAGGCACGTGCGACTGAGCGGCCAAGTGAAGTCAATTGTCTACCTGAAATCTCTGTTTCCATGTCATGTCCCTTTCAATTTAATTGAGCCCCAATTTTCTTATGAAACTGTAATTACGGGGAATATATGGTTAAAAAAAAGTAAAATTTTTAAATTTATGTGTATATTGTTTTATTAAAAAATGTATAATTAAAAATAAGAGATAGAAAATTACATATTTTCTGAAAATAATGAGAATAAAACAATAGAGGTTTTATTATTTACAAAATATATTTTGGTGGGTTTATTTGGGGACGGGGGCTTCATATGAAATTTGTTAAATTTCAAGCCTTTGGTTGCAATTATCATTCAATGATCAGATAACAATTTTAATTATTTTAATAGATATTTACCATTTTGCCCTCTTTTAATTGATTAAAAATATGGTCAAACTAAATTTTTGGGTCAAGTAACGAAAAAATGGATGGAAATCATCCAAAAGTGCCTCACATGCAATGGTTGAAAATGTTTGGGGTGACTGCTACAACAAATTAAAGGTTTGAGAAAAGTCTGCTAATGTTTCTAAGGTTTGGGGCTTCTGCTACAATTATCCCTATTATTTATATTCATAAATAGTAGTGTCACTATTAATTCAAACGTAGTTATATTTATTTATAATTTAAATTGTTTATAAGCAATTTCCCTCTAAGGAGTTGTTGAGATTGCACTTCATTTGAAAAATTCTTAAACGAGTGCTCTTCTAAATATTTTTTGTTACTTCTTATATAATTCAAGTTGGGTAGAAACTAAAATTTTAGATTTTTATTTAAATTAAAGTTAATAATTAATTTTAACCATATAAATCCATAACTTTTCGACAATAAATTTTATCAATTTTTATCAAAATCTACTAAAAATCTTATGTTATTTCCCACCAAATGAGGGCATACTCTCAATGTCGTTATGACCAGCTACATGCTCTGAATGAAGCGACAATCTATTCTTTAAGTAGTAAGAGTTGTTTGATGTATATTTTTAAAATAAATTTCGTGAAAAGTAATTTTTTTTTTTTTTGAAGAACTTGTCATTAAAAATAAGAGAAAGTTATAGATCCACATGTCAAATTATTTTATTGAAAAAATGTGTGATTGAAAATATATTTAGAAAAAAAAGAATTTTAAATAATAGTTCTTGGAACTTATTGAAAGATTAATTTTAAGTGAATTCTTTATGGGCATATTAAATTTGATAACTCCATCGTGAGCAACCAGCTGACATAAAAATAAATCTTAGAAAGTAGACTATCACACAAGGGCAAAGGTGAACGACCAACTATGAGTTGATCTGTTGAACAATCCTCAAACTTCACCTCGTTCAACCTAAATACGCTTGAGTGAACTCTAACACTAACAGAGAAAGACTCGATCTTCGAATCAGTTTACTCTCAGCTTTTTTTTTTTTTTAATTTTTTTTTGCAGTGAGATTCTTCGGACAGTCAGTTTTATTTGTTCTCTAACTTTATGGTTAAATTCGTACAACATTGATGTTCATCGTAAGAACAGAAAAACGACAGCGGATTTTCAAACTCCAGCATGGAATGCTCTTACATAAAAGCATATATCATGTTAAAAACTAAAGAAGCAGTAGCATAAATTCAGAAAGCTGCTAATGATGCTGAATCTTAACTATATTATAACAGACTATTCGAGTTCATCAGTGTGCAAGTCGATAAAAGCTGAAGGCAAGATATCAAGGTACAAGCTTGAAGCACAGGGGAAGCAACTCCTTATTCATGAAGTAATGCTCCAAAAAACGAGAGTATTAACATGCAGTGCAAATCTGACTCGACTGAGAGAGGAAATACACCGAAAGATCAGAGAAGAGCCCTTTAATCTACTACTAATAGCTACATAAGAACTACTACTTAAACCAACTTCAACAATTTCTTGGCTCTATGATGGCCAGCAGAGGATTAAGTTTGGTATTCGTTAGCCCCAAAGTATCCACATTTTCTTCTTCTCCATCATTGAGTCTCCATTTGAAATCTTGTACTAATCGAGCAATTGCCATACACGAAATTAACATTGCTTGGAGAGCACCAGCACAAACCCTCTTTCCCCCACCGAAAGCCATAGTCTTATGTAGGTCCATCAAATCACTTTTCCGGTCAAGGAATCTCTCAGGATTCCAATCTTCGGGAGAATCCCATATTTTCTTGTCCATGTTGCAACCGTAAATGTTTATAGCAATCTGCAAATACAATTTATCGTTACAGTCCCTGTCTCAAAAATGAAATTGCATTAGATCAGGGGAAAAGTAATACCTCACTTCCTGCTGGAATATGGTATCCTCCTAATTGTGCATCTTCGTGTGCATATCTCAAAGGAACTATTGGGACAGGACTATGTTTTCTCAGAGTTTCATGAAAAACAGCTGATAAGTACGGAAGTTGGCACAACTTGTCCTCTGTAATTTTGTCATATCCACAGATATTTTGAATATCCTGGTATAAACGATTCTGTTTCAACCGAAAGAAATTTTACTAAGTACTGTGTACAAATAATATACGAGGAAACGATAAATGAATTAGACGAACAGAGTGAATGAAATACCTGTTTTTCCGGATTTCTAGAAAGCTCGTACATGGCCCATTCCGTGACCACTGCAGTAGTGTCTGAAGATTCAATAATGGCTTCCCAAAGCAGCATCAACATTTGTTGTTCAGATAACGTGTTTGTTTCAGATACCAAATAATCGAGATAACAGTTGATTTCCTGTCATAAGGTTAGCCACATCATAAATAATTTCCTGACTGGTTAAAGTAGGAATACAATACTTATTTCAATAGTAAGCAAAAGAGTTACTTCCAAAATAGACAACTTTTTTACTTAAAAAATGTAACACCTTCTAATGTGCTGTAGATTGGACTTCAAGGAAGTGACAGTACCTCTCCAGAAGCAATACGTTTCATGTGCTCCTTAATAAGGGCCTTCATCACAGCCTCTCTGTGGGAATACATTTGCTGAAGTCTCTTTTCAAAGCCTTCGTTCGGAATCCATTTTAGATATGGGAAAAAATCTCTCCAATCCACCTCAATAGCACCTTCCATAGGATGAGTAACTAAAATGTCAAATATCTCTTTTCTTGACAAAACAGCACCTAGTTCCTCCACATAAATGGATTCAACATCCTTTCCAATAGCCTGTGTAATGTACACATCTTGTTTATCTTCTCAATCTTAGAGTATAAAGAGCTACAAATAACTGTGATGTGGAGTAAGCAAACTCACTTGCTTAAGTGATAATCCAAAAAGCTCAGACTGAAATACATTCCGGAAGTTTACGACTTCGGAAGGATGAGCTTCCACGAGAGTATGGAACTGCTGAGTAATGTTATTTATCATGATATCCCTGTGAACATGATGTCGTTTCTGCATAATCGACGTAATTAGTACTATCTCCACTACCAACAACTATATAATTTTACGGCAAGAAAAAAACTTTGCTGGATATATTTAACAGCACTGACCTGAGCATTTGATCCCAAAGTACTCGTAAGAATATGTCTTTTTATGGTCTTGTAGTAGTCATTATAATCACACATTGCAACAATACTTTTATCAGAAGTGAGGATCTTTAGTGCATTTGATAGCTTTCTCGTTGAGATGGACGAATATCTTGTGACCATGGCCTAAAACAAACCAGGAATAAAAGTTTGAATGCGTATCGTATTTATTCTGCAACAGTATATGAATAAAAGACCCTAGAACACCTGATGCACAATCCCTTGTTTTTTGTAGGAAAAGCCTCTTTGCTTGACGCTATGCAATGTAACCTAAGAGCATGCTTGGTACAAACTAGACAATAGTACAATTTAATCCACCTTACCGATCATGCCACAAGTGTACAGAGCAAAAGGATATAAAGAATGCAACAACATAATTTGAGCAATAAGTCAGTGTCCACGAGATTAAGATAGAGTATCAAGTAAAACAAGGAATACAGATTAGTTTTATAATGAAGAACCCAAGATATAAACAGTTCAGAGCTAAGACCGATTTAAGTAAGATGGAAATTGAATGTAATAAAGCCAAGAAATTTAAGCATTTTGCATGAGTTGTGGAGAGAACAAAATGATCATCCCGACTCCCACTGATGACTGACTAATTGCATCATTAGATTATGAAGTTGGTATGTTGATCACTTAAGAGAATAATAAATGAACTCTCTCAATGAGTTTGGTATTGCAAAATGTTTCAACATTCAAGTTATTAGAAGCAAGACAGTAACAAATTAAAGGAAGAACAAGCTACAGAAACACAAAATCGTTATTTTGATTAAAGAAAAGACACAACACCCGCTACATTAAACATGCTTATTCTCCTGTAATATTCTGCATTCGGGTCTCACTTGTAACCCAGTCAGATTTAAGTTTCGTAAAGGTTTATACGATATATGTGCAATACTCGTCAAACAGAGAACTGGCCTAACACATTTTTTTGTGCCGTTTAATCCGATTCTATGCCTATATTTGGAGATGTCATTCGGGGTTTGTTTGATGAGCAAGTTTCTCATTAGCAAGGAGTTCATTTGTAAAAAAAAAGCCCAGCTATCTCATTTTCCTAGTGAATTTGCCACCCAAACCAAACAGCAACGTAGGCTCTGTGTGATGTCTTTTTCTCCTAAGTTCACATCTTGAACTCTAGCTTACAATTTTTGCAACCATAACACTACCTTTTCCACAGCAATTCAAGCTAAAAATGAAATCAACAGCAGTGGCAGAGCCACATTTTCCCGAGGGAGTGTAACTCTTGAATTTTTTTCAAAAGATGTCTCTTAGCACTATTTTTACCACTCTTAACAGAATCTACATATTTTAATACAAAGTTTTGGGGCAATAAATGAACTTAGAAGGCCATCGACATGTCAGTCATTTACTGTGGCAAAAAAGACGAACCACAGAGAGATATTGAGTTGGATAAGCCCCAAGAATCATTGATGAAATTTGACACACAAACGCACATACAGAGGATAGAAGTCTTGCCTCCCTTTGCTTAATCACAAAGTCTTTCATACAAAACCCTGCTCAAATTTTTGACTTACTCAAGAAAATTTATGAAATTCACAAAATTATCTTCCTGATCAAAGGTTCTAATTTGGCAGTTACCAAGAGACAAGGGTGCCTACCTCCTTGGCGACATCGTTGGAGTTAAGGACAACCATGGTGTTGGCCCCTGTCCTTATAGAAAATACCGGACCATAAGTCTCAGCCCATTTGGCAAAGGTTCTGTGGGGTTTCTTCTCTTTCAGTTGCAGCAGATTCCCAATCACTGGTAACCCTGGCACCTCTGCAATCAATTCACCATTTTATTTCGATCTCATTTTGATACAAATAAAAAGTAAGATCAGAATGGAATTCAAAGCTCAAAAGTCCCTAATGTTCGACTCTATCCCTCAAAAAGACGAGAAAGGGGGGAACTTTTTACAGCGCCGGGCAGGGAATGAGGAATCCTGTACAGTTAAAGAGAAAAAGAAGGACCTGGTGGAAGTTTTAGACTTGTAGATCTCTTCTTTTGATCGTTTATATAAGTTTTAAGAAAAAACAAAGTTACACCGCCAAGAGCCACCACCGGACCACCCATTGTGACTGCAGTTGACAACGGCAGCGCTTCCATTAGTCCCACAGTCCCACTTGTATTTCAAGAAAACTTATTTTTGGCTTCTGGCTTATGGATACTGCTATTTATACTCTGATATTCACATTAAAAACAAGATAAATTAAAATAATTAGAAGAGAACAAGCAGATGGAATCTAAAGGGATCAATACAAAGGTTTTTGTTAATTGATTCTCAAGAAGTTCGTGAAGAAAAGGACGAATGGACTTCTGTCGTCTGCTAAAGCTAGCCATGAATGGAATATGCGCTCATGCTTACTCAGCCTTTTTCTTTTCCTTTAATTATATCTAATCCCAGATTCCCAGTCTATTTGACATTGTAATATGTTGAATTAAAAAGGGAATTAGTATTCATTTAAATTTCATTCATTCAAAGATACTTAGTGCCGTCTATACTTGTATTATAGTACCAATGATACTAATAACATTACTCAAAAAGAATAATATTGTCTAGCACCTGCCTATATGACATTATATAATGTGTTGAATTAAAAATAAAATTATATGATTCGCTTAGTTGTATCATTCAATTAATAGCATTTAGTATCACCTAAATTGATGTGGTAATATCAATATATCAATGGTGTTAAATAACATTAATCATAAAGAATAATGTTATCTAACATCAATAGTGTTTGAGCATCAATTTATGCGACGTTATGTGATAAGTTGAATTAAATGTGAAATTATGTGATTCATTTAAATGTACAATTTATTTAATGACACTTAGTGTCAACTAAACTAATGTTGTAACACTAGTGGTGTTAAATAGCATTATTTAGAAAAAAATAATGCTATCTAACACCAATCTACGTAGCGTTATATGATATGTTGAATTAAATGTGAAATTGTGTGATTATTTTAATTGTACCATTCATTTAAAAGAATGGATTTTGGAATAGTGATTTGATGAAAATGTGATTAAAAATAAGAAGAAATTTTGAATTTGCGTGTAATATTATTTTATTAAAAAATGTGGAGTTGAAAATAAAAGAAAAAATATATTTAGAAAATAATGGGAACCAAAACAAGGGCTTAGTATAACCTAGATTAATGTTGTACTATCAGTGGTGCTAAATAACGTTATTCTCGAAGAATAATGTACTGGTGTTGGAGTACCGTTTATGTGACATTGTATGATAGGTTGAATTAAAAGTTAAATAATATAATTCATTTAATTGTACCATTCATTTAATGCCACTTAGTGCAGCTTAAACTAGTGTTATAGCACTAGTGGTGTTAAATAACATTACTAGAAAAGAATAATATTATATAATACATGTTTATGTAGCAATGTGTGATATGTTGAATTAAAGGTTAAATTATGTGATTAATTTGATTGTACCATTCATTTAATGACATTTAGTGTCACTTAAATTGGTGTTGTAACACCCGTTGTGCTAAATAGAATTACTCAAGAAAATAATGTTGTATAAAACCAGTGTATGTAGCATTATTTGACTGGTTGAATTAAATATAAAATTATGTGATTTATTTAATTGTACTAGTCAATTTAATGACACTTAGTGTTACTTATATTAATGTTGTAATATCAGTGGCGTTAAATTATATTACTTAGAAAGAATAATGATATCTAACACCGATCTATGTGTTATTATGTTAAATGTTGAATCAAATGTGAATTTATATGATTCATTTAATTGTACTATTCATTTAATGATACTCATTAATGTTACCTAAACTTGTGTTGCAATATCAATGGTGTAAAATAACATTACTTCAATGAACAAACACATGATTTATTTTTAAATAGAAAAAAAAATGTCCCTTCTTGCTCGATTTAAGCTTTTGTCCTTGCAAAATATAGAAAATTGGGTTGAAAGAGATGACCCCGTGACTCTTTTCTTTTTCTTTTTTCATAGTTTTGTAGCACTTGGATTGTGGCACAAAGATTTTGTCCAAACACAACAGATGATATATAAGAAAATAATTTATGTGGTGCGATAAAGTTGTGAGCGAGTTTAGGGTGGGGCACCACCTTTTTATCCGAGCTCAAGTTGAATGATAGGATGCTTTTGAATATATTTATGAAGAATTTGACGATATTATGAATTCTTCGAACTTGGAGTAAAATGATAAATTTATGAAATCTGATCACTTATCGTGTCAAAAAGTAATCAAGACTATACTCAATGTATAACAACGAAGAATAGTGTTAAACGGTTTGAAGTAAATTTTATAGGCATCGGCCGATGAGTAAAGTAATTATATCGACAACATAGTAATTGACTCGACTCGAAAACAATTTGGGCCCTTGAAAGAAACTTACTTAATTAAGGTTGTCCATGAACCAATTCACTTAAGGATGGCCCATGTGAAGTTTTGGCCCTTAGAGTTGCTTTGACTTGGTTTTGGATTTGTAGTGATATGTTGGCCTTTTTATCTTGGTTGAGTCTCTGGTCCATTTGGTAACTTGGCCCAATTACTTACCTTTAGGTCAATTGAAAGTGACCTAATTGCCTTTGCCATATATTCATCTTTTCCAACCGTACGTGTTTGTGGTGTGTATTCGGTTGGTGGTTTTACTGAGCCTAATTTCAAGATTCCGAAGGTTTAAGGCAATTTAACCCCTGTTTTATCCCAATTTTTTAAAATTTATTTCCAATCACATATTTTATAGAACTTACAAATTTGTCAACTTTTTAACTACACGTTTCATTAACTTTTATCAAAATTTATTAAAACTCTAATTTTTAACCAAATCAAACAGCACCATTACAAAAACATACTTATTTTTTAACAATAATGCTAAATGTACATTCTTTGGTTGACATTGTTTTTACACTGCCTTTCTTTTTTGAAAGTTGGGAGCGGGAAAACTATTTTTGTTTTAAACTGATTAATGATGTTTTGTTATGCGGCGCAATGTAAAGAAAGATGTAAAAGATAATGTACATGTAGCATGATTGATTTTTTAATGAGAGTCCAAAGTTATGATTGATTCATGCTCTTTTGACCTGAAATTTTTTAGTTAAAATCTAGGAGTAGTGTGACACGATTCACATTTATTACAAGAAACGGTACACAAGGTCATAGTTATCAGACAATTCGACTATTGGCTCATACGAAAAACATCTTCAATGGTGCTCTAAATTAGATAGACTATCAAAGTGATCAAAAAAATCTTAATGGAGAAATGCAAAAGATATGTAAAATGCATTTTTCAGCAAAAAAAATAATTAAAATCTGCTTGTGGAAAAAGTACGCTATTTTTTTAGCAATTGTACTATATGTATATAATGAGTTATATAAAAGTTTACATACACGTGATGTAGTGAGATATGATTGAGTCAGAATTTCTTCAAAAAAAAAAAAAATTCCCCTCTCTTTTTAGCACCAAATTTGTATGTAAATCATTATATAACTTCATTATGTACAAGTAGTATTATTCTTTTTTTAGATCTTCCTATTGGAGTATAATTTGAATTTAGATCAATTGAGATATAAATGAGGATGTAAAAGTGATTTTGGAGATGTCAATTTACACTCAATTTTACACTACAATTGGAGATGCTCAACAAAAAGCTGGTTAAGAAAATATGTAGTACGATTCGAAGTATTGTTGAACTCCATTGAATTATGAGTTTTATTTTTTTTCTATTCACATAAAATAGTTTCTGGTTCATTACTTTAAGAAATGTTTTATCGTTCTTGTTTTGATGTCTATTTGATTACTAAGATAAGTTATTTTAATGAAAGACAGACAAAGGAATTATTTGTTGACTTGGATTCACTAATGATATTGTGGCTTATCAAATGTCAATCTAAGAACGATTAACTACTTTTAGTTTCATAGTTAATATATTTATATGATAAAGATCGTATTTATAGTAATTTTTAAAATCATCCTCCAATACTAATCTGCGATCAATGACAAAAGTCAATCTTAGTGATATGAAAGTTCAGAGCGAAAACATCCATTAAAGTGATGCATGGGCTGTGATTAGAATTTCACGAGACAATTAGATTTACATCCATATTACTATCCACATAACTTCTTATCACAAACTCATATCTTATGCACCTCATGTCATCGGGTTTCTAGTTCAATACTGTAGGTATGACACGAGTCCGTCGACCAAACTCACTTCACGAACTATGTAAACTTTTGTAGAGCAACCTTGTCGGTTCTATTATCTAACACACCCGCTCTTGTAAGGCTAGTTGGGAGGGAGGCAATTTTTTGGGTTTGCTTTGCCTCCTTCCTTAGGTTATATAGTTCAGTCCAACCAATTCATAGTCTTCCCAGATCCAATACGGGCAGGGAAATGCGAAGACATGAGAAAAACACCGGCTCAAGTCTTGATTTGCATCCCCTTTAGGTGATTATTTCAAAGGTTCATTTTCAATCCGGTCATTTACACATATCACCTAGACCAATTCGCAACCTATGTCCTTGTTTCAAATGTGGTACATGAGTAAAACACATAGACATCATTTTTAGAAGAACTTAACGCAATTTTATTCTCGACAAGTATAAAATATTATTAAGGAAAATTCCCTAAGTACAAGAATTCTTTCACAAAATCGCTACAAGTGTTGCTGTGGCAGAACCTGATTTGCACACAATTTTTTTTTGTCACCTGCCAATGAATCCGTGCCATGTGGAATCTTGTAAAAATTTTGTGAAAATTTTCCTATACCTGTTGCATTACTCTTATTATTAAATAATATATTTTTAAACTACAAAATTATTATTTTGACGCTTCATTGCAGGAAACACCCAACACTTATTTAAATAACATGGTAGCATAACAAAGTCATCTTAACAACGTTCTTTAATTATAGTATCCCAAACAAATGGGAAAATTAAGTTTAAAACAAAATAAATTTAATAATAGAAATTAATGAGAATTTTTTTTTTATTATTATTATTATTTTCATATTAATTCTCTCTCATTTAGTCAATCATCCATGCACCAATATCCCATATAACTAATTCATAATTTACGCTACTCATCCAATGGTTCTTGTGCACCAATCAAAACCATGGATTGATCAACACTTACCTGGATCAACATCTTGATAAATTAAATCAATCATGGGTTTGATTTAATTCCCATCAATATTTTGCTGATGGTATTGAATCCCAATTGCCACCCCCTTGGCCTTGGTGCATCATAGCCATTTGATTTGGATCGAACGTCATATCCGAAACGCTCCACACCTTGACAGATTTATCAAGACTTCCACTATACACGACCCATTTCTGCTCGCCACTTGTCGATTCCTTGTCCTCCTCCACCGCAAGACACTTGACCGGTCCGGTGTGACCGGTCAAGACCGAGAGACAAGTGTGCACGGCTGAATCGCGGCGCCACACACAGATAGTTTTGTCAGCTGACCCACTGAACACAAGATTCCCAGCCACAGAAAGGCAGAGTACGGCCAATTTGTGCCCCTTGAGGACGCCACCATGGGACAGCTTCTTCTCACGCTCCCAAAAGTTCACAAGTCCATCGGACGACCCACTGTAGACGACCGAACCCGAGTTGTTATCTGCTAAAGCAGTAACAGCACATTCTTGACTCAGAAGAGTCTGCACCGGGGCATGCCTTATGACCTTACCTTTTTGTTCCCTTTTCCAGACTTTCACTGTCCCATCGGCCGAGCCAGTGTACACCGTGCCTTCGACGCTCGCCACCACCGAGTTTACCGCATCATCGTGGGCCTTAACAGATTCAATGCACTTAGAATTCCCAATTCTCCAAACCTTAAAAGTCCTATCCCATGAAGCAGAGTACAGAAGCCCTTCTTCTTGATCGATGCTCAAGCAAGAAATAGCATCGGCGTGTTTGATCCAAAGCGAGGTTCGGTTTCTCTTCACTTCAATGTAGCTGCTTGGCCTAATGGAAGCTTTGAAAATGTCGAAGAAGGTAGGAAAAGTTCCCACACGTTTATGGACGCTTGGATTCTTGGGATTAATCTTCCAAACTCGAACTTTGCCATCTTGATGTCCAGTGAAAATCTTGTCCCCCGATATAATAATTGCCTTAACAAGGCCACTGTTGGATTTGAACGCTGCAAATTCTTTCATGTTCTTCCAAACACGAATATTTTTGCTATCAGAACCAGTATAAAGAATGTCATTCTTAGCAGCCAAAGAATAAATATGGCCTTCTTCGCGAACAAGGGAACCAATTAGGCCATTCAGAGGAATCTTCTGAGACGCGGTTTCACTGAAATTCGACCAAGAAGATTTCGTAAAAGGCGAAGAGGATTGGTTCCATGGGGACATCATCATAGGGGAGCCTTCGCCAGAGAGACGGTTGGGGTCATAAACAGAGAAACTGCTGTTTCGGTTAGCGAAATCATCATCGGCAGCTGCGCTTGAAGAGGACATGTTTGGATCAGAATGAATCATGTTACCAATTTTTAATGTTAGACTGTTGGTTTCTTCAAAACATCATTCCAATTCAATCACCGTATCAATCTGATGAGAATTAGAAGGAGAAAAAAGAAGATTGCATTGGTGAAAAATGAATGGAATGGAAAGAAACCCTGAGAAGAAAGGTGTATAGAGAGATAGTGAAGGAGAGATATAGTAGGGGATATAAAAGAATTGAAGGCGGGAGAGGAGAGAGAGCATGTAAATGGGAGAGGGATGAGGGGTATGTATAATGTATGTTTGAGGGGGTAACGTGGGGTGGGGGTAGGGTACCTAGTCCTTTTGTACAAAGGGATTATGGGGTTCTCATTTTTTCGAGTCTCTTTATTTTCTTTAGCTAAATTTAACGGTGTACGACGAGTCCTATCAAGTTGGTTAACTTGATTTAATATTATACGTGTTGAGTTAGTCGTGGTACATTTACAATCTTTGTTGGATTTGTGGCAAAACAGTACTTATTCATAGAGTTCAAAGAGATTTTTGGGTTCTCATGGTTGAAAAGGGGATATATATATATATATATATATATATATATGACTAGTGTAGAACTTCAAATTTTGGTGGGAGTTAAGGAAATAAATTTTTGTATATGTTCTATACTTTATATTAATAACAATGTTATAAATCGTACCGAAACTTGATAAACTGGGTAGTTAATAGGGAATTGATTAAATCAGCCATGAGTTGACGGGGTTTTTTGGAAGCCTTCTTTTAAAGAGAAGAAAAGATTTTGTTATCAAATGGTTCAATCTCGACATATATCATTTATATCCTTGATATCATATGATTTTTGTTTTTATATCTAGTTATTGATGTTCTTATTTTTCTGAAAAATTAATAACAAAAATCAATATATTTCATTTAATTTATATATCATTAATTTCATGTATGGGTAAGTTGGTGTCCCATGTTTCACCTACTCTTACGTACCATACTCTAGTGAACTAAATAGTCAAATTTTGGCATTACAATTTTGTGAGCCAACGCCGTACACGTGTACAAAATCGAATGATGGAACATATCAAATAGTCTTGTCAATGTCAAAAGACATGTTAATCCATCCTTTTCATCTGTCTTGTTATTTTCATGTGTAAAATCAAAATTGTAATGTTAAGAACATAGATATAATATATTCATACTACGTAGGTTGTTTACAGTCGATACGATCTGTATTTTTCACTAAAGTATAATCTCTTCGATACGTTTTAAAATGAGCTCGACAAAGTTTCTCGACGCATACGAGGTCTCTTTGAGCATGTTTGCCCCTTACTCAATCTAATTGTTAATTTGCAAGTTCTCTAAAAAAGGAAAAAAAATAAAAAAATTATTATAGTTTGAGGCTCCCTACCAACGACATTCAATTATTTTTCATCAAATTAAAAAAGAAAAAAGATAGCAGAAGTTGCCCTATGAGGTTGCATAGATGACTTTATGGTCAAGCACTCAAGCCAACTTTGTGGACAATCAGACCCAACAGATCTGCTCCAATCCACAATAGGTAAGATAAAAAAATTTCATTGTTGAAGTGGTAGGCGAATATTTAGAAAACTATGCTTACGATTCTTTCTATCACTTCAGTAGTGAATTTTTTTTATCATGTCCATTGAATATAGGAGATCAATTCTATTAGATCCAAATGACCTAAATATCGTGGGTATATTTTGCTACAAAATGTCAGTCTACCTCCATCCTTACACCTCCAAACACATTTTGTATTGTACCAAACATGTTGTGAATGATGATATGAGTGTGCGACCGTGTGCATGAGCGCATGTTAAATAAACACATTACATATAACAACTATTTTTACTAAATTCCTATTTGATAACGATTAAAATGGAATTATTGGCTTCATCTCTAAGTATGGATCGAACCTTTCGGTTCCAAATTTATCCAATTCTATTCCTTCAATTAAGTTCTTAAATTCACTAACCATGCAGATATTAACAAACATGCATGGCTATTACATGCCTGACTTTCTCTTTTTAAAATTTCATTGTTGAAGTGGTAGGTGAATATTTAGAAAACTATGCTTACGATTCTTTCTATCACTTCAGTAGTGAAATTTTTTTATCATGTCCATTGAATATAGGAGATCAATTCTATTAGATCCAAATGACCTAAATATCATGGGTATATTTTGCTACAACATGTCAGTCTACCTCCATCCTTACACCTCCAAACACATTTTGTATTGTACCAAACATGTTGTGAATGATGATATGTGCGTGCGACCGTGTGCATGAGCGCATGTTAAATAAACACATTACATATAACAACTATTTTTACTAAATTCCTATTTGATAACGATTAAAATCTAGATTTTAATATAAGTCAGCGTCAACAATTAATTTTAACCAAATATTTCATTGGATCCACAACTTTTTAACTGCAAATTTTATTATCTTTTATCAAAATTTACTCAAATTTGATTTTAAACCTTCACCTAAGATGGGCAAAAGGTATTGTATTTATCAGTTATATGTCATTATTTAGTTTCTTTATTTAGTTCTTCCTTTTTTCTTTGTTGGTCCATTCATCATCTTAATATATTGCAAGTAGAATTTGACTTTTTTCAAACCCCATACGAAAGTGATCAATGCATGTTGAACTTTTATGGACATTCACATGTGCAATATGCAAATTCTATCGATTAGTACGAGAGGGGCAACATGCTATCCAATTAAACTAGGTTTCAAGACGAGTGTAACTTTAATTTATTATTTTATTAAAAACTTGTCAAGATCATTTTAAATTGGTAGCGATGAAACTTTCAATCAAGATTTTTTGCTGGCTCGAATATTATGCTAACCACTTCAATCAAACGGACAATTCCGACCTTAAAAAGTTAAAATGGATAGTCAATTTAATACTGGAGTTCTCAAACGAGTCACAATCTTTATTGACATGTTGCGAGTAAATCATTTATATCTTGTTACCTACACGCTTGGACAAACCAACTTGTCATATTCAATACTGGTTATGTAAGGTTAACAAGAAAGCTAAGACGAAGGAATTCGATGAATTGATAATGTTTCAATTCAACTTGTATACAAGAACTTAAATTTGTCTTAAATTACTTAGATTCAAATTTACATGTCGTGCGATAAGGTATGTTTATTTATGCTATTTTATATTCAACACTATTAATTATCCATATTAAATGTTTAATGTGTTAGATACGAATATATTTACTTAATTTAAATGTTACGAATCCTTAAGAGCTTGACATGTAGCAATTTCAAAAAATAGAAGATGACGGAATTTTAAGGTACTTTGAGGTCTCTGATACTACGTTAATTAACGCATCTAACAACTTAAAAACTATTAGGAATGACACATTTATTTATTTAAACGTTGCTTTCAACAAACATACCTCACTGTTGTAAGTCATTATCAGATTTCTTTATTTAGTTCTTTCTTTTTTCTTTGTTGGTTCAACCATAATCTTAATTTATGGCAAGTAGAATTTGATTTTTCAAACCCTATACCAATAATTTATCAAGAAATAATGATTGTTACTAGATTTTTACATGTTTAATATGAAAATTCGAGTGAGCTAAGAGAGGGATGCATGCTATTTATTTAAATTTGTGTCGAGCAATAAGATTATCCTATAGGGTTGTGTATCTATTGTTTGCCTATAAAGGGCAAAAAGAGAATCGATAAATATTGAAAGCGATTATAACGTCAAACGATGAGTTTTGGACGTCTGGCTTGTCTTAGAGCTTAAATAAAATTTATTATTTATTTATATTATTTTATATTTAACACATTTATTAACAATCTATATTTTGTCTTAAAAATTTATCTATTTTAAAAGTTTAAACTATTAGATAAAAACATATTTATTTATTTAAATGTTGATTTTAACCCCTTTATCGAGTGCTTATTGGGTTCTTAAAAGTTGGACATGCAAATTTTCATAATAAAAGATGTCGGACATGAATTGGAACATACGAGATTTGATTTGATTCGATTTCAAAGACAGTCGAACCGAGTGCCAATATACATATTGAAAATGGAATTATTGGATCCATCTCTAAGTATGGATCGAACCTTTCGGTTCCAAATTTATCCAATTCTATTCCTTCAATTAAGTTCTTAAATTCACTAACCATGCAGATATTAACAAACATGCATGGTTATTACATGCCTGACTTTCTCTTTTGTCTTGTAATCACTTTATAGCACGTGTATAAATTTTACCTGTTTTAGCTTCACATGCTCACAATATTCATTTTCACGATTTCACTCGTAATTTTAAGTCGAAAGTAAGACTTGAGTTCGTAACCTTCATCTATTCAGATAGAATAATTCTACTTAACCCTAGCGCTGCTTAACACTGATATAGATGACTGTGAAATTATTGTTACATTGTTCAATAAAGAAAAATATATCTTAATTTTATTGATAATTTGATGGTGACACCACTCTAACCTAAACTGTAGTTAAACACTATTGGTACTAGATAATATAATTCATTCAGGTACAGCTACTAAAGTTCGTACTCTTTCTATGTGTAGTAAGCCATGAATAAATGCTTACAAGTGATCTCCACGCTATAATGATATCTAAATTTTGAACATTAGTATGTATTATCATATCATAGGTGATAATAAATAGATCAAAATTTTTTGTATTTAATTGAACATATAATTTAATGTCACTATTACTGTTACTGACTCCTAAATTGATGTTATATATAATTATTGATACAAATATTATGCGGTGAAAATTCAAGGAATTCTGACAATATCATATATTTCATAAAATCGTATACAATTTTGCCTTGGAGGGTAAAAGAAGATATAGACTCCATCCATAAGAAGCTTTCTTTAAAAGTAGTAGCTAAGAACAATATGTTTTTTAACAACAATATCAACAATTTTTGAAGATTCAAATTATGTCTATTGTACCAATTATACTATGTAAAATATATATGACTTTAAACT